AATGCAGATGGGTCAATTGAGCGTTTAAAGGCCAGGTTGGTGATTAGAGGGGATATTCAGAGAGAAGGAATTGATTACAACGAGACCTTCTCACCAGTGGTCAAAATGACCACAATCAGGTGTTTGTTGGCTATTGCAGTCAAAAGAGACTGGAGCATTGCACAATTAGATATTAGCAATGCCTTTTTACATGGTGATCTACAGGAAGAAGTTTATATGAAGTTCCCTGCATGTCTCACACCTTCTAGTCCCAATCTTGTGTGCAAATTACGAAAATCTCTATACGGATTGAAACAAGCATCTAGGCAGTGGTATGCCAGACTTGTTGAAGCTTTGAGTTTTAAAGGTTATTCTTCTTCACTCAATGATTCTTCATTATTTTTTAAGAAGATAGGGGATCTTGTTTCTATTGTGGCAGTGTATGTGGACGACATCCTACTCACAGGAAACAATCCTACAGAACTATCAGAACTAAAAGTTTTCTTGCATGCCGAATTTCGAATCAAGGACCTCGGGGAATTACATTACTTTCTGGGGATGGAGATTCTACACGAAAACAATGGCATTATAATAAGTCAGAGGAAATTTACCTTAGACTTGCTGGCAGAATTTGATTGTAATTAGCTGCCTTCAACTTCTTCCCCTCTTGATCCTTGTTCCAAGTTATCTGTTGATTCAGACCCTCCACTAACTGATCCCATCCTCTATCGAAGGCTCGTCGGCAAATTAAACTATCTTACCTACACAAGGGCTGATCTTTCTTTTGTTGTTTTGATTTTAAGTCAGTATATGCAAAGACCCTGTGTGGGACATTTCTCTGCTGCTCTTCGAGTTCTAAGCTATCTACGCCTTGATCCAGGTCAAGGTTTGTTTTTGAATGGATCACAATCTTTCTCCTTAGTTGCTTACTGTGATGCTGAATGAGCCTCATGCCCAGATTCTAGACGATCTGTCAGTGGCTTTTACATCAGTTTAGGAGGCTCTCCTATCTCATGGAAGTCGAAGAAACAACCATCCATCTCACTTTCATCTACCGAGGCTGAATATAGATCGATGAGGAAAGTCACTGCTGAGTTGACTTGATTGAATCGCTTGCTTGAGGATCTCTCTACCTTCATGTTTACCAATTCCTTTGCACTACGACAGTCAAGCAGTCATTCACATAGCTTGAAATCCCATTTTTCACGAGTGTACAAAACATGTCGAGTTGGACTGCCATTTTGTGCGCCAACGGCTTCTCTCAGGGCTGATTTCCCTTTCCTATGTTCTATCGACCTTGCAACTCGCCGATCTTTTTACCAAGTCTCTAGCCGGGACCTCTCACAGATCTATTATTTGCAAGTTAGGTATCAGTTCCTTCCCCTCCAACTTGAGAGGGGAGGGTATTGAGAATCATGATAAAATTGATTTTGATTCTCAGAATGGATTACATAAAAATCAAGCTATGGAGTCACATAGCAAAGGATTGAAGATGAAGAAGAATGTCACGACTCAGATTTTCCACCCTCGAGATTCGTGATGACGCCTACTAGTGAAAGCTAGGCAAACCAAATTATTCTAATTACTTAAGCTTTTTCAGATTTAAATTGTTATCAGTGATGAGTAGATATCATACAAATAGTGGAAATAATTAGGCAGAAGACAAAATCTGATAATTTATCTTAACACAAACTACGGAAGTCTAAATACAATTCTACCCAGAATTTGGTGCCACAAGTTCACAGATGGTCTAAGAATACTACATACAAAGTTTGAAAGATAAAAGATACACTGTTTCTGAAATAAGTAGAGGAAACATGATAAAGGAAAGATAGGAGGTGATGCCAAGACCTGCGGACGCCTGCAAGACTACCTCGGGTCGCCTGTTGGACTGAAGGCAGCAACTTCACTGCGGTCCAAACGCTCCGATACCAGTATCTGTACACAATGCAGAGTGTAGTATCAGCAAAACTGACCCCTTGCGCTGGTAAGTGCCTAGCCTAACCTCGGCGAAGTAGTGACGAGGATAGGACCAGACTACCGAATAAACTTGTGCAGTTAAATCATATACAATGGAAAAATAAAAGCAGATAATTACAGTTAAAGATGGGAGAGAGAAAACATGATTCGAGGATTAATAGATAACAACAGAATATCAAGAGGAATATAAAGAAACCAAAATCCAATTACTAACAAGGATAAGGGAAACAAATGCAGAATTCACTCTCATTTCACATTTTGTTGCAGGCGTGCAACCCGATCCCATTTCACGTATCTCGTTGCAGGCGTACAACCCGATCCCATTTCATATATCTCGTTGCAGGTATGCAACCCGATTTTATTTCATATATCTCGTTGAAGGCGTGCAACCCGCTCTCATTTCATATATCTTGTTGCAGGCGTGCAACCCGCTCCCATTTCATATATTTTCGTGGCGGCGTGCCACCCGATCCCAGTTACAAATCAACAACATTCACAAAAGGATCCCGGCAAGGGAACAAGAGCAATATAACAACATCCCGACGAGGGAACAATAATATTTCAACAACATCCCGACAAGGGAACAATAATATCAAAACAAACATCCTGGCAAGGGAATAATAATATGACAATAACATCCCGGCAAGGGAACAATAATGATAATAACATGTGAAGCGCAATAAACCAAAATGAAGTCATAACAATTACAATACAAGACTCACGGGCATGTTTGACACTGACATATAGATATTCGCCATCATGCCTATACGTCGTACTCTACAATTAACACGTAGCAAACAAGACACGACTCCTAATCCTTCAAGCTAAGGTTAGACCAAACACTTACCTCGATGCCACGAACACAATTCAAGTTTCAATTATCGCTTTACCTCTAGATTCCACCACCAATTCGCTCGTATCTAGCCACATGTTACTTAATTACGTCAATAAATGCTGAATAAATCAATTCTAATGCATGAAAATAAGTTTTCCAAAGTTTTACCCAAAAAGTCAAAAATTGCCCCCGGGGCCACNCCCGGGCCCACATGGTCAAAACCCGAGGTTCGAACCAAACCCCGATTACCCATTCCCCCACGAACCCAAATATATAATTTGTTTTGAAATCGGACCTCAAGTCGAGGTCCAAATCCCCAATTTTTGAAAAACTAGGTTCTACCCAAAACACCCAATTTCCCCCATGAAAATCATTGATTTTGAGTTGAAATTATGTGAAAAAGATGTTAAGGATTGAAGAAAACTAGTTAGAAACGACTTACAATTGATTTGGAGAAGAAGTTTTCTTTGGAAAATCGCCCAAGAGAGTTTATGTTTTGAGAAGATGTAAAAAATGGTTGAAAATGCATCTAAGTGTGAATTTACAGGTCTCTGATATCGCAATTGCGACCAGGGTTGGCAATTGCGAACCCTTTAGAATTCTGAGACCTTCGCATTTGCAAACAAAATGTCGCATTTGCGACCTAGTCTATTTTCTGGTCTTCTTCGCATTTGCGATAGACCTCTCGCAAATACGAAGTCACATTTGTGATACAGGAAACTCGCATTTGCGAGGGAATGCTGGCCTGGTCTAGTTCACATTTGCGACCCAACCCTCGCATTTACGAACTCGCATTTGCGATCCAGGCCTGCAATAGAACAACTGAAACCTGCAATTTTTCTAAGTCCAATTCTACATTGTGGCCTATCCAAAACTCACCTGAGCCCTCGGGGCTCCAAACCAAACATGCCCACTACCCTAAAAACATCATACAAATTTGCTCGTGCATTCAAATCACTCAAATAACATCAACAACTATGAATTTAGCATCAAAATCATGAAATTTCTTAAGAACTTTGAATTTTTCAATTTTTTCAAATACGATCCGATTCACGTCATCTCAAGTCCATTTATTACCAAATTTCACAGACTTATCTTAAATCACATATAAGATATGTACCGGGCGCCGGAACCAAAATATGGGCCCGATATCATCAAGTTTTAGACACATTTCATTTTCAAAAACTCATAAATATTTCAAAAACAATTTTCTTTAAAAATTCATTTCTCGGGCTTGGGACCTCGGAATTTGATTCCGGGCATATGCCCAAGTCCCATATTTTCCTACGGACCTTTCAGGACCGTCAAATCACGGGTCCGGGTCCGTTTACCCAAAATATAGACCGAAGTCAACTTAAATTCATTTTAAAGTCAAAATTCATCATTTCTCACAGATTTTCACATAATGGCTTTTCGGCTACACACCCGGACTGCGCACACAAATCGAGGTAAGATAGAAAGAGGTTTTTAAGGCCTCGAAATATGAAATTTGTTCTTATAACAAGTAATGATCTTTTTGGTCGTCACAAAGAAAGAGGGGTCGTGTGAGGCTTCGTGTGTATCGACTACAAAGGGTAAAGTGAAGCCACCTAACTTTAAAATATGTTCTGGTCAATGTTGGTCTTTTCAGACAAACAAAGGAACACGTGGACAAATCCTCACCTTCAAACAAATTGTTGATGGATTAAATCATGACCCTCCAAATACTTCCTTGGCCAGCAATCAGAAAAGAATATTTCTAGAAGATGCTTACACGTGATCAATTCTTTGGCATGTGGGAGAGAATATAATTTGTTAGTATAGTTAGATTTCATTGAATCAGAATAGGACAAGTGTAAATAGAATTTTCTTTTTCATTTATTTATTTTACATTACAAACTTGTATAAAAGGGATGTACAGTGCATTATCAATACAATGAGAAAGATTTTCTGGAAATTTAGTCTCTAAATCTATTATACTGCAGTATATTATTTCATTTTTCCTTGTACGGTAGCAAAAAGGTGGTATTTTCTAGGAACTTTTTGCATGATATTTCCATCACCACTTAACATATATCATCCCATGTAAAGTGTGACATTGTCGAATATATAAAAATAGTATGTACTTGTAGTAAATTTTGTGAAGATTGATACATGACAACCATGAATCAAAGAATTGGAATATAAAAAGTTAATATAAGGTTGTTCCCAACTTGAAAATACTGTGTAAAGCTTCTCTCTCATTAAATTAAAAGAGAAATTGAAAGGTAAGTTTATACGTCGTACCACTACAAACACGAACAATAACAAAAAGAAACAAAAGTTACAACACAAAACGGACAAAAAAGAATTGGATCCAACTTCCAAACAACGTTATTGATCATCAACTGATCTGATCTCTGGTTATTAAGTACTACTAAGATTACAATTTCTTCCTCCCCCATGGCGTAGCATTTCCATCAAATAACTCATCAATGTGTGTTTCAATTTCTTCAGGTTGATACTTTACATACTTCTCCGTCTGCCGTCCTGGAGTAAATGTTTGACTAAACCTTCCCAAGAATGATCTGTACGCCGGTATAACCATGTTTGATATTGAAACTCTCAGCTCCGATTGCAGTTGCTCGTCGCTAATCACCCAACTGCTTTGTGTTTTATGTATCTCGTCAAACAATGCATTGAAACTCTTGAACCTCTCTTTCAAAATTGGTTTATTCACTTTCCCATTCACATTCAATCCCTCGTGGTTTAAACATTGCAACAGTTTACCCCAAGTTTCTCTTTGGTAAGTCTTGTGGTATTGTCTAAGGTCCGAAGATCGCTTTCTGTACCATTGATCCCCCATTAATCCATTGATCTCTGGTGATCCTTTTATTTTCTGCAAAATGTATCGACCGTTGTTCATCATAAATATTGAGCTGAGTGAAGTGTCTTTGTATAGTCTTGATTTTGCCTCCAGGTTTGCATCCAATAGATCCATGACTTTCATCATGTGCGCTTCAAAAGGCGATAGCTTATTCAATGTCTCATTCTGAGCTTGTGGATTTTGGCAGTCGAAATCCGATCCGGTGGTTGAATCAGCTCTTTCTATCATTTGATGTTCTCTGAAGACCTGTTCTAAGGTATCTCTGTACTCGGCTACATATTTTAGGTAATTCATGATGTAACGAGTTAATGGATGAACCGCACCACCTGGAACCGGAGTCTTGTTTGAATCGGCCTGGATTGAGTTTTCGAGCTCTGAGAAGATAGAAACCATGGACTCTCCTAAGCGGCTCCGGGTCAATGTAGCTTCAGCCTTGAGTTCATCAGCGTAAGAAACAACAAACAATTTGTCCTCCAACGGAAGCAGATCGCGCAAAGTCTCGTATATGTCAAGAAACTTGAAGAGTTTTTCAGCAGCGCGCTTTGTCATGGCAACAGCTTCAGCAAAATTAAGGAGTTGGATCATCATACCTCGAGACAAATTGCTGAAGATTTTCTCAGCAATTGATGGTTGATCAGCAAATACAGCATCGGCGAGCTTGCGTTCGCTGGAGTGAAGCACATTAGTACAATGTTTGAATGTTATAATCCAAGCAGTAATCTCTCTCTCCAATGAATCCCAATGCATCTTTTGCACATCGTCAATGCTGTGTTTTTCAAATCCAAGTTTATGCAAGCATTCCTCCAATGCTTTTCTCCGTGCTATTAAATACACCTGACAACATTCTACTTCATATCCTCCTGCAATCAAAGCTTTAGATAATTTATTCATTGTTGTCACAATTTCCTCAGTGTATCCTGGAAATTTATTATCTTCAGAAGGCGCGGATTCAGCGACAGAGCTTTGTTCTGCATCTTGATTAGTGTCTGACGATGAATTAGTTTCCTTATTAGGCTTGGTAGAAGTGTCTGAATTGAAATCTGAATCAGGAATTTTGTAATCGTAGAGGATCGACTTGAATTCCTCCTCTATATAGGACATTGCGCGTTGAAGAACACCATCAACGCGGCTGATTGAATAAGCATATTTGTACTCTGAAGAGAATTGACAGAGAGAATTTAATAGCTTTGAGATTCGATCAACAAATTCCAAAAAAGACATGGCGTCTTCCTGAGAGAGCTGGCTCCATTTGATGGGTGCATCGCCGCCGTCGTAATCTTCAATCTTTGCCTCAACAAGAACAGCAAATTGTTCCACAAAGACAGGAACATCGGGAGGCTTAGATTCATTATCTCCTTTTAAGTTTGACAAATCAGATATAAACTGATCAATTTCTTCGGAAACCTTACCGAGATCAGGAGGTAAAGGAGAACAATCTTCAACCTTGACCTCATCATTGTTGGGATCATCTTCTTGGACAAGACCATCATCTGTTGTCTTGACACCATCATCTGTTGACAGTTGTTGAACAATCTCTGCTTCTGCAGATTGTGATTCGTCGGGCGGCGAAGGATTTTCAGTTTCAACTTTCAGAGGTAATGGGTCAGGATTTTCTTGTTGTTTGTCACTGGGATTATTGTCATGGGATTTTGTTTCAGAATTTTGTGTTACTTTCTCTGCATCCATGATTGTGTGACTAACTCAAATGTGCTTAATTTTCAGCTTAGAATTTATCTACTCAAACAAAAATGGTATGAAAGAAAAACTTTTAGGTTTGTTTTGTGCAATGGTAATAGAGCTAAGGCAAAAAAACATGCAACGCTATAGTCTAGGAAAATTGACCTTTCATTCTGCTCATTTTCTCCGGAAAAAAACTGTAAACTAGAGCGTAATTGTCTTTGTGAAATGATGATATTATTTTCGGATATGCTGGTATTAGATTGTTTGGAAAATTGAAATGTCCATGCCTGAGAGAAATGAAGTGTGCGGTCAAAACTGAATACAAATGGGTGAGAGAATAAAACGTAAAATTAGTTAGGAGAGAGCTTTTCGTGGAAACTTCTGCTGCAATTTCACTAATCTCCTCATTCCTACATCTAATATTTTAATTGCCATAAACTTGCACGAATAAAGGAGGGCCTCAACCACTGACCATGTCCATAGCCGATTTGGATCTAGTCCAAAATAATACTCTACTATTTATAACCCC